CTATCACTATTTTGTACATAAAATACCGTTTTGGAAAAACAGTTATGATATGTTTTTGCTTTTAGCTTTTGTGAAAATCATTTTATCTACAAGTTAGCCCTCCTAATTATTTTTGTTGCTCCTGCTATTTCACCAATTACGAATAATTGAGATTATGGAAAAACATAAATACCTTCTTAACTTTCTTTCTTTATTTTAATTACAAAAGGAGAAAAAGGAAAAAGACTGGATTTATGGTTCAATTCAAAGCCCCAAAAGCTCCAAACTTTATGCAAACCTAAGCCATGAAATCATGAATACATAGTCGAGTGGGTCCCCCATGTCCCCCTTTCATTCTCCATATAAACCCCTCTCCTATACCTTCCTTCTTCCCTTTTCCCCTCCCCACTTCACTTAATAATTACGTAATTAATTAAGTTTTTCAATCTCCATTAATTAATTACTAATTAATGGAGATTTTGAACAAGATGTCCGAACCGCCGGCTCAGTTCGTATGCCCGGTTCTTGAAGACCTACTAAGCGCCAGTGAACTCCACGAGCTCTTTTCCCCTTTCTGGTCGGGAAAAAACCGGTCGGTTTACTCGGTCGAAGAGAGGAAGATAAGGCGAAAGGCATCGAACCGGGAATCGGCACGGCGCTCAAGGCTGAGAAAGAAAATGCTGCTGGAGAGTCTGGACGTCGAAGTGAACCGGCTCAGGGCGGAAAACCGGCGGCTGAAGAACCGGCTGTGCGAGGCCACTCTTCTCTGCCAAGCACTTCAGACCGAAACGGACCGGCTCCTAGCCGAGTTCCTCCTACTTGAACAAAGACTCGGCGGTTTAATGCAAGTTTTAATTAATTCCATGCAACTCGAACTATGATAATAATATTATTACTCCGTATTATTTTTCCTCTTTGTATATATTTTCTTTCCCCCGGCCTGTAAAAAAATATTTTATATATTTAACGATATATATGCATGGGTGTGTAGTTTTTATTTACTCCCTCTGTCCGGAAATATTCTTCCCACTTTCCTTTTCGGTCCGTTCGGAAATATTCTTCCCATTTCCTTTTTTAGTATACTTTTTAAGGCTAAATATCAATAATACCCTTCTATTTTATCACAAATCTACTTTTTTAGTACTTTTTTAATAATAAAAGGAGATTTAAAAGTTTATAGTATGTGCATTTTTGAAAATTTTACATTTTTTTTACTATTCCTTAATAAGCGTGCCAAGTCAACACGGGAAGAACATTTCCAGACGGAGGGAGTATTTCTTATTCTGAATTACTCGTAATGCTTTGGGAATATTAAATAATTATTCACGTTCTCAATGTTAAGTTACGTTATTAAGAATTATTCAAAATTCTAACGCTAATCATAAATTTTATTTTTCAAACGAAGCCAAAAAGATGCTTTACCTAAATGGAGATAAGCATTGACCAACAAAAAACGAGCAGGTTGAATGCATGAAAAGAGCTCATGAGGTGACAACATTTGATTCTGATCTCCATATCACCAATATTCATGATCCATATTTTTATCCCTGCCAATTGGGTATTGTACACTTGTATTAGCAGGGCAATATCAGAACTCCAAACAAGACTAAGTTTGAAGAAAGAATTATATCAAGATTAAGTCATATCTCATGAATTGACATTTCACAAAAAGTATAATATTCAATTCATGTTCAAAACTCCTGACAACGATAATAAAAGATAATTATGCACACTATGAGATATATATATATATATCTGTGTGTGTGGGCGTGCGCTTCTATCAGAGATAAACTCGATTTTCTATTGATCAATCTAATATCAAAGCTCGATATATCTTCTTGCATATATTAGTGTCTGAACTAGTCTTGAAGAAGACCCTAGGCTAGGATTCAATTTTATTTTTTTTTGAAAAAACAATACTAGCTAGTAGTGGTGTATATATTTCCATGTTAATAAGTTATAGTCTGGTATGCTTTTTTTTTTAAAAAAAAAAAAATCAGTTATAGTGGGTGTCCCAACTTGCTTTTCGTGGGAATAATAGAGTGTAACGAGCAAAAAGCAGAATAAAAAGGGAATCATCGTACTGGATGATCAACAGGTATGTAGTCACTCTTCTTTTTATTTTTGCTTAATTTCCCCACTTATGATAGTGATAGATCCATGCATCAATGAAAATGTAAAAAGTGCTTCATTATTATTTACATGGACACACAAAATCCACTCTTCAACTCATTTGGGAGCTAGAAACATCAATAATGAAAATCTTTCGCACCTCTTCTTTGTCATCTAAATTAAGTCAAAAGAGATATGATCGATCATAAATGAAGTCCACTGCTAGAAGCACGATTGAGTTTTCGAGGGCCACGTATTTTATTTCAACAATATAATAAACTTATTGATAGAGTTTAGGATGAGGTAGGAGTCACAGACTGGAATGCGCCATAGAAAAATAAGGATTATGCTTCTCCGAGATAACAATCATTCATAGAATTTATTAGAATGGATGGGTAGGAATCACTGACTGGATCATAAGACACTTGCGTTGAACTACATTAAGACGGAGAGAGTATTATCAAATTACCAAGATTAAGAAGCTCAACATATCAAAAACTTATTACTCCCTCCGTTCTCAAAAACACTTCCTCTTTCGTTTTTTCTACTTCCAACAAAACACTTCCCCTTTCTATTAAAAAACCACTTTTACTCTTACTTTTTCATACCATACTTATCACATCATACTTTTTCTCTAATAATCTATCCATCACATCTTACTTTTACCCATCACATCAGGGGCAAAATTGGAAATCAACTACGGAGTATAATTTAACACTTCTTTATTTTTGCCCCCAAATCAAATGAGAAGGGTTTTTCCCAACAGAGGGAGTATGAATTAAACTTTAAACACTTACTCAAAAGAAGAAGAAAAAAACTCAAATGCGTATTCGATTAACCATTTAACAACTTAAGGTTAAGTAGTGCTCCAAAAGAAATACAGTACTTCGTATAAATTAAAGGAAGAGATACTTATTATTGGCCGGATCGGATCGGAAATAAGTGGCTGGTGGTGCGCGTCGGAGGACGGCGGGTGGCAGACAGCAGTGGCGTCGGGGGACTCTGGGTGAGTGGCCGGCGGCAGGGTTTAGACATTTAGGTACTCCACATTTGTTTTTTTGTTTTGTTTTCTGCCAAAACTTTGAGTTTTTAAGTTTTTTTTTTTTTGAATAATCTACGTTTCTTTCATTTCCTCCTTTTGTGATCTATATTTTTTTGGGAAAACTAAAACATTATGTCTTTCTTAATATTGAATTAAATATTTTTATTTCCCAATGTAGGACCATTGATCATTATCCAAGTAAATGTTTATCATCACTGTATATTATTCCTCCCACTAGACATTATGAAGTACTATTTATGGAATAAAAAAGTTTAAGTCTTAGATTGAGAAATGACTTATGTTTTAGTCATATTTAGTGCAAATTTCACTCTTCTTTTGTGATGTCATTTTAACCTTGAAGTAAAAAAATATACGTAAAACAGTGTTATTTTAACTTTGAAGTAAAAATGAATATAGGTAAAACATTGCAAAAAATTGCTGTACCCTCAGCTTATAGTAGTTATTCTTGGGCTCTTTAATGCTCATGACCAGGCATTGGCTATTTGGCTATTCATGTGCTTTAATTTGGATGATTTGGAAGGCTCAAGCCACGATAAGGTTTCTACAAGGTAAATGTTGATGCCTCTATTGGCCTCGTTGATGATTTTGTGGGTTTGGGCTTTATTGCCAAAGATCATTGGGGTAAGTTTGTTGCTGCAAAGGAATATCTGATATAGAGGTAACTTTGAAGCTCGAGATGCCAAGGCTATTGTAGTTAAGGAGACACTTAATTGGATCAAGGATCAGAAATGGACGAACGTGATTATCGAAATTGACTACAAAGATGTAGTGGACTCTCTCTTGCTTTCAAATAAGAACTGGTCCTATTCTGATTCTATTATTCATGATTGTAGACATATCCAGACACTTTGTAGCTGAGATTATTTTAGATTTGCTTTTGTGTATCGTTAAGCTAATGAGGCAGCACATACACTCTCATTCTGAGCCTGACATTGGGGAGTAATTTGATTCAACCCTAGATTGTATTACCATGACCCTTTAATTTAATAATTAGTTTACTTTTAAAAAAAACTTGAACCAAGACCCAGAAAAGTGTTTGCAATCACAGCTACTATGACAACAAAGGGATCGTCAGAGTCCTATTGGGAGGCACCATCGCCAGTCTTTCAAGGCCATGGCCATGGTCGCCGCGGAGGCAAGTACCTTTTAAAAGAGCATTTAATGAAATATACTACTCCGTATGTAACTAGTTTATCCATAATTTTTAATATAGTTTAAAATATGGATGCTTTCCTATTTTATCATGTAGATTAATAAACAAAAAATATTATTTATATTAAAAAATTGAAGAAAAAATAATAATGAGTGTGAGTCATAAAAATAGTAACATAAAAAATAAAATAATTTATAAATTATACTTATGAATATAATAGTTGTAATGATAATGATAGTAATAATAATACTAATACTAATAATGATATATTTTTTAAAAAAATATACTAAAATACTAGGAGTATATTTTTAATGATTTTTTAAAACTAAAACACTAAAAACAGACTCCGTTAGTAGTTAAACTAATTTATAATACTCCTATATAGTCTATAAATTGTACGGAGTACTTTTCATTTTTAGACTTTATTATTAACTATGGAGTGCTAAAATACTCCATAATTGTTTGAGATTAAATTAATTATTGCCAAATCTCGCGAGTAGAAAATTGAAAAATGGATAATGGTTTCTTTGGAAAATGATACTCCCAACCAAATGAGTTCTTGATCGAAAATTGTCATTGGAAAAGTGTTACTGTGAAGTCTGCTTGGCTTCATTTATTCCAGCATGATCAACTCCAAAAATCAAACTTTTGTTTGAAAGTCTTGACTTTGATTAGCTAAACTCGATTTCTGGGGTCAGTCCAATGGCGTAGTGTGTGTCTGGGCTTGACTCACAGTTCGTGTCTTTGGGTAATGTTGAAAAGCCATTTCTATTCGGTCATGGGCCAGTTCACCGGCCCTCAATCGCTGGGTAGGTCTACTCATCTTTTGGATCATCTTCAACAGATGATGATTTCTTTGCTCCATTTGCATTAACTCATGAGAATAATAGCTTTCACTCACTTGGGGTTTTGCAGGAAAAATCACAGAATCTTGGAAAAGTAAGGGGAATCCGCTTTATTGGGGTTCTTGTTCCTCCGGTGAGCTGTTGCTCACCAAAATGCCACTCAATTTTTTAATGGTTCTTGGGGCTCTTTTTTCCCAGATGTTCCTGGAAATAAATACAGTAATGGGTAAGAATTTAAAGGACTGTGTGTAAGTAAGATTCTATGCCTGCTGCTGCTGCTGCAATGGGGTCCTTGGGAGTGTTTTTTCCCCCAAATGATGCTTTGCTTACATTAGTTAAATATTTTTTTTCTTCTTCCCAATATTTATAAAGCTGCAAGATTATTTGGTTCCTAGCTTGTTGAGTCATCCAGGATATTACCAGCTGTGTTTCTGGGTAACCCAACTTTACCTTTTTTTACATTCTTGATTCTTGTAAACAGTGGAGAGCATAGCAATGAGAGCTCATAAGTAGAAGAACTAATTCTTGGTCTCTTGGGTTTACTACATAAGGGGGAAAAATTGGTTCTTTCCCATTGATGGTTCCTATTCTGCAGAAGAAATGGGTAGTGGGGAAAATGGTGATATGAGCTCAGGCTATGCTGCATTTCGGACCGTTGATTGGGACCCTATTGTTTCAATGGACCAGAGTTTTCACTTCCCAGATGTTCTTGATAATCACCCAATCTGCACAAGTTCTGAACTTGTTCAAGACCCATCTCATGTGTGGGAGTTTCAAAGTTCTCAAGAAGTTTTCTGGAATTGTGAAGTTCCTTTCTCATCACAGTCTCTTTCTCTGTCCAAGGTATCATAAATTTTAACATTTTTTTCTTAATTTGTCCTGTGTGTAGGAGATAATGGTTGTTGGTGATGAATTCTTTGATACTCTTATGTTGTAGAATGTTGAAGAGGGGCTGCCAAAGGGTACATTGGCAGATAATCCAGATGGCTTTAGACAGATTCGCGAAAAGAAACAAAAAACAGAAGAAACGAATGGCTCGGGCGATTTGAGGGCAAAGAAAACTAGTAATGAGGGAAAGTATGTTCATGTGAGAGCTATAAGAGGCCTAGCTACAAACCCTCATAGCCTTGCAGAAAGGGTAAAAACTATCTTCAATATAATGAGAGGACTCAGTTTCTTCTACTAAAACCAATGAAACGTTACAGGTGAGAAGAGAAAGGATCGGTGAGAGGATGAGATTGCTCCAAGAACTTGTCCCCTGCTGCGACAAGGTAGCGTTTGTCTGATCCTTTTTCCCTTCTGCAATAAGGGATCTCTGAATTTTGACCACAAGACACTCTGTTAAACCACAATAAAAGATTGAATAATCACGAATGCAGATAATTGGGAAAGCGGTGATGCTGGATGAAATCATCAACTATGTGCAGTCACTCCAGCAGCAGGTTGAGTTTCTGTCAATGAAACTTGCATCTGTGAACCCAGAGTTTCACCTTGGCATTGAACAGGCAATGCCCAAAGAGGCAAGTGAACAGAAACAGATAAAACATCATAAATTAACTGCGTTCCCATTTCAAATCTATCATACATCAACCGCTATGCCGCGTTTGGTGCAGATCTTTACTACCCAAAGAAGCGACGTGTCTCTTCTTCGATCTGGTCATGGAACAAGCTCGTCCGTGCGTTCCACAAGTACCCTAAACCCAACACCACCAAACAATCCCTTATTTCAGGTACAATCATATTTCTACACCATTGAATTTCCACCTATTAATATTGTTGCTGTCTCTTTTGATGAAAGACTATAGCTTTGTTTGTGTCCAGAATGTATGGGGAAATATGGACAGAAATGGTAAGAGAGTAGCAGCTGCATATAATATGTTTTTCCAGAGTTTATATACTTTTGTTCTTCGATTTTTTAGCAGAAGAATGTCATCAACTGTAATGAACTTAAGATGGTCATCCATATCAAGAGCTTAGAGAGCTAAAAATCAATGATCTGATGAGTTGATACAATCATTGTGTGCCTATTTTTAACCTCTCCCTCCCAAAGAACTTTACATAATTTGACTTTTATTAAACTTAAGAAGAGTGTTGAAAATTGTAACATTAGAATTTGTTTCGAAATAATGAGAAGCATCGCAAGTCACTTGTTCATTTTTTTAGTGGTATTGACTCGATCTATTACAATTGTAGTATTTATCCATACATTCTTAACTTAATTAATGTCTTCAACTAACTTCTAGAATCGAAGATGGTGAGCATCCCACAAGGTCTGGGATATAGGTCTTCTTTAAAAAGGTACGGAGGATTTTTTTTAGACAAATAGATAGAAAAAGAGCGAAACTTTATAGGAAAAATTCACGTCAATATACTCCCAGATTTGACCGATTATATAATATTATTCTTGAATTTTCTTTTGCATGTCAATACTTTGAAGAATTATCGAATTTTACATTGCTACTCGTGCGTGACTGAGTCAGTTTCAGACTTAATTACGTGAAATTATTTTGGCTGTCATGTCATCTGAAGTAACGAGTTAGCAACACATCTAAAGTAATGAAATTAAATTGGATGTTTTTGAATATGTTAATAAATGAATCGTAACTTGCAAAATTTTATACATTTCAAAATAATTTCATTTAGGGTCCGTTTGGTATACGGAATTGACGGAATTGGAATTGAAATTCCATAGAATTAAATTCTACCAATTCCAATTCATTTTTTGCACTATCAATTCCAAATTCACATAATTTTTGTACTACCAAACACCAGAATTGGAATTGAAGTCCTCAATTCCAATTCCATAATTTGAATTCTGTGTACGGGCGCAGGTTACCACGGGCGCGGTCCCAACATCAATGGTTTTAGCTCCGATATCATGTGAAATAATGGACTTGTGCCCAATTCAACGGAAAAAGTTATCATGTGAAATAATGGACTTGTGCCCAATTCAACGGAAAAAGTTAACTTAGGAGGTTGAGAAAACGATGCCATTAAATATAGCACAATATTAGCATGTTTAGCGAATATAAGATGAGACAATTGAACACCATTGATTATTAAAGGTGAAACCGATAATCAGTTCTAGGAAAAAGATTAGCCTCATCCCTGAATTAAATATTTATTCAAAGGTTTTATGCTTAGCATATTTGTCTTCCAACAAAGTTGTCAGAAATTAAATTTGGGTCTACTGCTTGGTATTCTCTATCTTTGCCATCTGCATAACACTCATTGGCATCCATTCTGGAGAATTCTCTCATAATTTGCAACACTCTTTTTTATCTCTGATTTTTACCAATGTGCGACGTGTCGCTGATTTTTACCAATGTCGGAGTTAGGTAGGCGGGAGGGATTTGGGATCCTTTTCATATCCACTTCCACTCACTCCAATTTAAATCCCCGTGGGCCCACGCTCGGGGAGAAATGCCACATGCACCGCCTCCGCCCCATCCACTTCACATTTATTGTTTTTTTTTTACTTTTTTAATAAATTCGATCCCATGTGTTGTTGACTGCACCCCATTTCCCTTTTCCTTCTTGGGTCACTATTGCGCATTTGCGCCCATTGAAACTTCAAGCCTTCTGCTATTTTGCATTTACTCATTATTTGGTATTTTCTTTTCTTTTTTTATCATATACATTACGAAAAATCATTTTATATACTCCGTATAAAAGTTTATAAAATGAACCTAGACCTAAAGACCACAGAGAAATTTGTCTTAGTTCAAATGATATTGAGAGAAGAAGAACAATGTTAAGTCTAAAATTTAAATAAATCACTCTAGTAAAACATGGAAAAATTTCCAAAAAGGAACTTTATATTTTTATTACTTAAAAAGTTTTCTATACTTTTTAATAATGTTCTTGGTCATTTTTGGTAATTTTGGTAATGTAAAAATGCATTTTAAAGCCTCAAAATTTGAATGTTTCAATTCTCAACGGACAGATTCTTCTTTCAAAAGAATATATCTTTCAAAGAACAAAACCCAAAAAGAAAAGAATCCTAAACGAGACGTTAAAAAAAGTTACAAAGAAACTGAGGCGTGGAAATATATTTATCATCAAAAATAATAACATCATCGATCACAGAGTCACCAACGAATTGAAAACAAATATTTACCATTTCTTTGACCATCTCTCTTTCAACTCCACTCTCCTCTTTCCCCTCCCTCATTCAAGCCCTCCCGCCGCCGCCGCGGCCCCGCCCAGCCGCCTCGTTCGTTTCCCCACCGTCAGGGGTACTTTCGTCATTCCCTCAATCTTCACTTGACCTGCTCGCCTATCAAGTCGAGCCCCACCAGGAGGAAGGAGATCCCCTGGAACAGCAAGAAGTAGAAATGTATGCCCTGAGCCGAAAGGAGGCTCCGAACCGAAGCCGTCAGGAGGAGGAAAGCGAGGGCCAGTTCCTTGGTGTATATCCGGTTGTGTTTCTTCCTCTTTTGCCCCTCCCCCTCCTCCCGCAGCTCGGCCAAGTCCGGGGCCGAAGTGCCGCCCCTCAGGCTGCACTTGGGCCTCTCTTCGGCTGCCAGCGACGGGAGGTCGGTCTCCGAGGAGCGGCCGAGCTTCTTCGTCACGACCCACTCGTACGCGCTCCCGAGCTGGAAGAGCCCCGAGACCATCGCGTTGAACTTCGTGACGGACATTGTGTTCTCGAAGAGGAGGTAGGGGATGATGAAGGGGAAGGACTTGGGGGAGGGGAGGATGTTGAGGAACGAGACGGTGGCCGGTATGTAGCACACGATCCACGCCGGGAGGGTGGCCTCGGGGATGAACATTGTCATGGGGAGGATGATGCAGAAGAGCGTGAACGAGTAGAACGGGAGGATCAGCTTCCTTAGTAGGAAGAATAGGAATATCAAGTTGAACTTCTTCCATATGCTTATCTGCAGCAAGCAGAGAACATGAAAATGTTACAAGCTAAATAATCTACATAATACAGAGTACCCGGGCAATGTCATGGGATGACCGAGGGCGCTCCGGTACCCCGTTCGAAAAATTGACAGTTCCTACCCCCTTAACCCCCCGGTAAACCCCACATCCCCTCCAATTGCACCCCACAAGTTGATTTTGACTTTGGAGTCAAATTTTGACTCTTTCATATGTTTTCTTAAAACTACCTTTGCTCTGATAATGTCGGGGAGACAAAGGCGGAAGAGTTGCATTGGTCCAGAATGCCACCGGTGTTGTTGCTTCCTGTATGCTTCGTATGACTCGGGCAACTCACATTGGCACTAAAATGAAAACCATTCAGAAATCGCGCGTTGTTACAATGTTGCCTTATATGATGGCTTACATTCTTTCTTTATTATGTCACATTGGAAGTGTAGAACTGTGAGGTGCCAACCTGAAACCAATTGGCAATAATAAGAGGATAGAAATAGAAAGAAATACCTCGACATCGTTGAGGAAGATGAATTCCCAACCGTGTAAGTGAGCGCGGACGGCAATGTCCATGTCCTCGACGGTTGTGCGTTCCAACCAACCGCCGGACTCCTCCAAAGTCTTTATCCTCCACACTCCGGCGGTCCCATTGAACCCAAAGAACTTCAAGAAAATCCCATTCACTTGCTGCTCCACTTCAAAATGGAATGCTAAGTTAATCAGCTGCAATCTGGTTAGCAGGTTTTCATCCTTGTTCACAAACGACCATCTCGCCTGGACCAATCCTAGTTTCTCATTGCCCTACATTTCAAAAGCAAAGGAGAAAGCCCCTTGAAGATTCATATCATTCAAATAGTATGAATTAGAGAACCCAATCAACCTGAGTTTTTAGCAGGATAATACTATTTTAGTGCTAGCAAACATGGCCTTATGCCATATTTATTTAGAAACAACGTTTTCAAGTAACATTAGCGCTTTGATTAGCTTTTCAACACGTTGAAGATATTACCCACACGGACACTTAGACAGCCATTTAAGTTCTGAAAAAGGTGGAATTTTTTTTTTCAAAAGAGGGAAAGCAATACCTTGAAATAAGGGACTGTTTGTTTGAGGAAATCGGGCATAGGTTGGAAATCGGCATCGAAAATGGCAACGAATTCGTAGTCCCTAACATAGCTGCAATTCATGGCGGACTTGAGATTACCGGCTTTATATCCCTCCCTAATCACTCTATGCCTGTACAAAATGTTTGCACCTTCCTTCTGCCACTTATGAACCTCCTCTTTGATCAAAGACTGGGTGATTGGATCATCTGAATCATCAAGAACTTGAATCAAGATTTTTGTTTTCGGCCAATCTAGGTTACAAACAGCAGCTATAGATTGCTGATAAACCTGGTAACAGAAAAACAAAAAAAAACATCAAATGCCCATTTCTGCATTTCCCAAGAAAAATTTATGGAAATTCATAAAGAATGTGAGCTTATGAACTGACCTCTCTTTCGTTGCACATGGGGATCTGAACAAGAACCATGGGGAAGTACCCAGATTCCAGATCTGTTATGCCTTGTTTGGCAACAGGTTTAAGCTTCCTTAACCAGATCCAGAAACATCCCAAACAGAGTACAAGCCGGTCTAGACTTTGGATGATGAAGAGAATTATGCAGACATTGGCCATGAATTGAAGAGGAGGAGCAATATATTCCACCCTAACAAAAACCCACTTGGAATATAGCCAATCAAACGCGCCCTTAACAGCCAAAGGATCAGTCAAAGTGTAAAGGTAGTGTAACTGAAGATCTGCGGCGGTCAAGTGCCACCCTTTGTAATACGCAGCAATCTCAACCCCTAACATGGCTAAAGAGAGAAAAAGAAACACCTTTAAGCAGATATAGAACCGGGTGTGGACTTCCGGGTTCTCCGCCGCGCTGGTGTCGGCGGAGTCGGTTCTCCCGGAAGAAACGCGGCGGCGTACGGCGGAGGCGAGGCCGAGTAATGCGGTGGCAATGGAGGTCAGGCAGCCGGCAGCCTTGTGGGCCTTGAGGAGGAGAACCCAGGTTAGCTGCTTGGCGTTTTTGTTCCGTACCTTGTCCCGGCGGTGATTTGTCGGCGGCGAGGGGAGGAAATCTTCCTCCGACGGAGATTCCAACTCCACCATTGACCAGTTGTTCGGATTCTCCATCTTCACCACCACAGGGGTTCCTCTGTGGCTTTGCTTCTTAGCCCACCAACCAAAGGAGGGGGCCATTATCAAAGATTCAATCTTTCAGCTCAAAGATCAATACAGTGGGCAATACCCAGAAATCCCAACACTATTGGGACTCCATTCCCAATTCTTGGATTCACAGAGCAGCTTATATCACTCAATTACAGCTTGCAGGGGAAGGTGGGTATGTTTAAGAGTTTAGAGAGAGAGAGAGAATATTTATAAGGGTAACAGCTCAACACGTCTTGGATTTTGGTTCAAGCTTTCCAAGAATGGGAAATAAAATCAAACTTAAAAAAGGACCATATAACAATGAAACAGAAGAAAAAAAAAATCAAATCTTTAAACTGCTAGTTTCTTTTTTTTATATAAATCCCAGCTTTAAATTTCCTGCTATATATTCATATAGATATACGAATATGAAAGACACGATCCAAGTGGGCGCAGGCAAGAATTTACAGTCTTGAAATGGAACTCAAGAATGGTAATTTTTGTTTAAAAAAGAAGAAGATTTATCTACGAAATTGATACGCCGTATATACGTATAATACTTATATACGGAGTATATATATAATTAAAACATACACATAGATACGTGCAATATATATTACACAGGTATGTAAATTGTAAAAAAAAAAACAGAATATAGATTTGATTTAATTTCCCATGCAAAACAATGATGATGGATCCTGGATCTCCTCCTTCCTATTTAATTTGGATAAATCCGTGAGTAATTAGCTTAAATATGGCAAACAATGGCAGATTCTTGAAATGTTTAGAATCTCAAAAAAAAAAGATAATGAGTGGATCGGGAAAAAAGAATTAAACAAACATGCCTTAATTGTTCTTTAATCACACACGGAAAGAATGATGAAGGAGGAGGAGGAGGATATAACCATCATCAGATCTTTAGCTCCCCATAGGGTCCTGCGTTATGTTTATTTATTAAAAGTGAAAAAAGAATAGACTTTTCAGTTTTGTTTTTTTTTTGGGAGTTTTTTTTTTTTGCCCATAAATCATACCGTGTATTGTTAAGAAAAAAAATCACTTTCAATACTTGTATTTTATTTCTATGTAATAATCCTGGATGGCATTCGGTTTTTCTAATTTTAGAAGTAGAATTTTTTACAGTAATTAGTTTGTTCTTTAGACACCATTAATAAATTTATTCGGTCACTTTTTTTTGCGTGCGGCGTGGCTCGGGCTGGTGAGGGTGCTATACTGGTACGTGGACATACTCCATTTGAGAGAGAACTAGTAATTTCCAAACTTCTAAAGTTGGTATTCCCTTCAATAATTAAAAAAACACATCCTTACTCCTAGAATTAAACAATTATATATATATATATATATATTTTGAGATTTAATTAATAATATTGCCACTCTCAAAATCTTCAAATGTTTACATCGATGCTCTAAAAATTCGTTTATGTTTATATCTATGCTCCACATGTTGGGGCACGATGTCAACCTATTTCACTATTTCACTGTTGGAGTGTTGATGTAAAAATACAAAAATTCTGGAAACATCGATGTCATCATTTATTAAATCTCGGAAGATTTGTGTAAAATTATGCAATTTGGGAGTAATGATGTGAATTTTTCCAAATAAAAAACATCGAAGTTTTAAGATCTTTTTAAGATGAAAGCGATTTTCATAACATTGCTAAGCAATGTCATGAAAAGATTCAAACGCCGCATGATGTTGGAACCATTCGAGGGGATGGGGGTTTATCGAACGGAGCATCGTACGGCCTCTGGGTCATCTCATGATATTGCTTAGCAATATCAAGATAACCGAGGTGTTTTAAGATTATGTATTATTCTTCCCGTCTCAAAATGATTTACATCTTTATTATTACAATATCTCAATAACTTTGATTTGTTTGTATGATTTAATTATTGATAATTTGATAATATAAAATATTCTTAACAAATCTTGTGTTATAAAATTTTTAATTTATTTTTTAAATATGTAAGTTTTATAAAATGCCCCAGAATCTCCCACGGGGTAAGGGATCCATATGAAATGAGAACCGAGTTTACATACTCCTTATATGAGGAGACTCTAACACTATGTTTAGTTCAAGGAATTTGATAGAGAAAAGAAAAGAAAATTAAGTGGAAAATATGTTCTCTTGTTTGGTTAGAGAGGAAAAGAAAGAAAAAGTGGAAGGAAAAGAAAATGAGAAGACAAAATGTACTAAGAGGAGGAAAAACAAATTTCCTCCCATTTTGGTGAGGAAAATTAGAGAAAATCATTTTTCTTTTCTTATCCTTCCAAAATCCTTGAACCAAACATAGTGTAAAGGATATAATGTTCTCTAGCGTGATCTCGTAGGACTTAAGATGGAGCCCCAAAGGCGATACAATCTCGAATAGTGTCTTGGATGTAATGGAACTATCTGCATAGTGTGCAATTGATTAGATGTGACAACACATATATTAAGGCCTCGAAAGGGAAAAACATGTAGCCAAACCCTGCTACACCCACCTCGCATTGGTTCAACATATATATAAAAGAAGAGTTGTCTGTAAGATTTTTTTTACTCGTCTGAAGATGCAGTCATCGAGTAAGTCAAAGTTTGCGATGTTTTTCGTTCCATGTTCTTAAATCGACAGAGTCAATACAAGTCAAGTCTAAAATGGATTGAGTTAGTTCAAAATGATCTGATTCAAAACCAAATGGGTTTGCCACAGTTTTTGTCAAAACATTTATCCCACATAGTATTATATTCCATAGTAATAATAAAATTGAACAAAACCTGGGGTCTGTTTGAGAATAACGTTAGATATTAGCGTTAGCGTTTTAGATAAAATTTCGACGGTGCATATTACTTTGAAAACGCTAACGCTAAACGCTGCTCGTAGATAGCCTTTTCAAAATGCTAACGCTAATCGCTAACGTTATTCCCAAACAGGTCCCTAATGCGTTTCACATGCATTGAGATTTAGAGGGTGAATAGCCGTGTCAAAGCCACTACCACGCATGTCACCTCATTGTGCTTCATCCTTTCCTATGCGAGCCAAGTGCGAGGTACCCTACAAGTCGAGCCAAGCACAAGAGAATCTTTATTTTATTTTATTTTTTTGTACGGGAAAGATTTTTTTTAAGTACATTTATATTTATGTAAAAAAGGCGAGTAATTATTTTTTAATAATTATAATATGTTGAAAATGTTTAAAAAGTGATTAAAATAATAGATCATCGCTTCGGAACATGCTACTCCACTTACTTATCACACTAATCAAGTTAGTTTTTATTAATTGAAATGATACACATGTTCCATCTTTTTTAGTTGTCATTTGTCAATGCTTCTAAGTTCTAACCCCTCCACCAGCCCTTAATTAGAAATCAAGAACAATGTTTTTCGGCCTGTGAATGCTTGCGCGACCCGGCCCTTTGCTCGGGTTACGATCCGATTGTCTTCCACCAAAAATCGAAAGAAATCAGAGGAGAAGACGAAATCCAGTAGCATGCGGCTGTATCCTATCCAGTAATTAAAGGTGAAGAACAATAATGACGACTAAGGACGTCGGCGGGGAACAGGGAGGGGATAATAATCCACGGCCGCGGCCGGACGAGCATCGCCATCATCAACCGCCGGCGAGAGCTGAGGACGGCATGAGACTTTGGGGCGTTCTTGTTTTCGGATTGATCGGAGCTACCGCCACCACTTTCGCCGTAAGTTCTCTCCTTGGAAACATTGAAAGTTTGACTGATTATTAAGCTCCGTGATTTATAGAAATTGTTTGGTTCTGGTTAAGTGATTGCTTTTCTTCTTCTTTTCTGCGTCAAGCAATTGATTTCCTGAATCTGTGTTCTCAAATTAAGTATTATGAGCTTTAGTATTTGAGTTTGAGCATGTGTACAAATGTGCTTTGGTTCTAGTTGCTGTCTGCTTCTTGTCTAGGAGCTTTTACTCTGTTCTTGCTATCTGTGTATGAGTCGGGGTCTCTCCAAAATAGCCTCTTTACGCCCGAGTAGGTGTAAGGTCTGGGCACACACACCATCCACATACCTATTTTTGTGGGATTTTACTGGGTTTTTTGAGGTTCTGGTTTTTTAGCTTTTGCATTTGAATATTTTCTTTTGTATCTCATGGTTTCCGAAATAAATTCAGGTCACTCAATTGCGTTGGACTATAAATTGGGTGTATTCTCAGGTATATCATATTGTGTGGTTTTTACCCCCTGCCAAGTTCGTAGGTGTACCACTTAAAATTGATTTAAACATCCTTCTTGTCACTGCTGATTCATGGATATGCCATTGGATGGCAAAAGTTGAGCAGGTCACAGTCAGCATGGAAAGGTACAGCAGGACGTTCTTCCTGGAGAAGCTCTAAGGAGGAAGCCTGGAAGAGATACCACAGGAGGATGCAAGAAGAGCATGAAGAAGAAATGGAGAGAGTGGTAAGATATATTCTCTCACCTTATAAAACTTCCTTTTGATGTTTTTTTGGTTACTTCGGGCTTGATTATTATACCATATATACGTATGTCCCGAAATCGAACAATGTTTAGCTCAAGACTCATTTCTTTGTGCCCTTTGTGCTTGGGCAACCTAGGAGCGTATACGCCGCATGCAAAGTGTTTTCAACAGAAAGAGAGATGCATACAGAAAAAGCTACGAGGGATGGGGGGCAGAGAACGGGGGTGCATATCATCAACATTTCCAGAGGAACGATTGGTATTGGAAAGCCGATTCTTCACATAGAGAGCAAGAAACTAATTTCAGAGAGCCTTTTAAGGCTAGTGCAAATCATTTATTGTCCCATCACTATTCTGTGTTGGGTCTCGAGAGGTGCAAATTTTATATTTTCTTCTTAATTGTCCCTTTGTTTGTAGCTTGTGAATGTGTTTTTCCTGCGCTTTGGGTCTAGTGTTAGTATATGTGTTTCTTGTGTTTGTGCTCTTGATCTTCCTTTGTTTGTGCTACTGTATTTACTTTATCCGCACTTTTGTGTTCGATCCGGGGGTCTCTTGGAAACATCTTTACTGCCAAGTAGGGCTAAGCTCTGCGCACACACCTTCTTAGACCCTAATGTTTTGTGAGATTCCACTAGGTTTGTTGTTGTTGTTGTTGTTGTCCTTATCCTTGTGTCCCACACTAGCTTCACATTTTCTTTTGGGGCTAAGAGAATGAAATTGTAGGGCTGTGATTCATTTAGAAATGAAGTAAAAAATACCAACCACAATTTTGTTTCTTAAGAGGAAACAGAAGCTAATTATGAGACGAACGGATTAAAAAAAAATGGAAAGGTAATTTGGAGATGTATGGAGTACATGTTACCAATAATTCCTTACCTTAATACTGATATAATTAAGACCTAAGTTCAAACCTTCACAGTTTTGTTAATCTATGAGCAGGACAAGGACAGAGCCTTATACAGATGAGGAAATAAAGGTAATTTGTTTCTTCTTTTTAAATCATCAATCTTCCTTTATATTGGCTTTGAGTTGCATTAGTAGAGTAAAACAGGTTGATTTTCATCCTAAACTTGCAATTTCTTTCCAGTGTTTTAGCTGTAATGCAATTTCATTTTAGCTTTTTCTCGCAAGGCAACCTCCAACCTAGTTTGTTAATTTCGGTCAATTATATTTAAAATATGTGTTTATTATGAACACTTCGGTTATTTTGACATTGACCACCAATATCATAATATGACATTGGGTCCATTTGAGGGCCTACGGTACTCCGTTCAACCTCATAGTGGTTCTTATCCCCCCAACTCCCCATAAACCCCCACTCCTTTGCTCCCCTTGCAGCCCACTCCAGCCCCCTAGACCCCGCCCTCAAATGGAGCCAGTGTCATATGTCATAATATCATAATGTGACATTGGCTCAAAAGAACCCGACTTTAAATATTGTAAATTCTCTTGAGATATATGTACATGTTTATAATCAATATTTTTTCCAAATCACCACCTTTTTCTAAATCACCGATGTTATAGCTACTTCTTCTCAAGTTCTCAGTGAGTTTTTAGTTTATAATCATTGGATTTCCTAACCAGTTGTCTTTTTTGAAATTGATGCCGAAACCTGAGCTCTCATATGTTGCTGGACATGTCGGGCTTATTTGAACTCGTCAACTCGATGATATATGTTGACACTACTACCCCTAGTTCAATTTTTGTCAAAAATGACTTGCAGCTGTGTTTTCCTTTATGGTGCAGATGGCCTTTAGGACAAAGGCAAAGAAGTTCCATCCTGACCAGAATCAAGATAACAAAGGTTTGTGGTACACATTGAGAACAATAATAGTTTCAAATGATTATGTACTGCTGAACCTTATGCATTAATTACAATTATTTAAAGTTACATATCTTTGTGACTATAGAGTTTGCTGAAGCAAAGTTTAAAGAAGTTTTGAAGTCGTATGAGGCAATAAAGTTGGAAAGGAAGAGCCGTATGCACTGATACAACAAGATTCTTATTCTGCTTTGGTTTCCCAATGCCTGCACTCATCTAAGGATGGTGGCTACAAAAGTTTTTGCCAGCCAAAGTGTATGGGGTGGTGCTTCAAGTGTACTTTCATGTGTCTATCAAATAATATTCAAGTATATACTAGATTTTTACCCCGTGCTTTTCGCGGGACAATGCAATCTTGCACCAAATGTTACATTGCTTATGGAGTAATCAACTGGAAATACTATGACATTATCGTAGTATATATCATGTACTCTGTAATATTTTATAGAAGATGAAGCTATATGGACTCTTGATCTATTAAGAATTTGACTCCCCTATTTGCAGTAAGGAGGTGCATTTATAGTTACACGGGATATCTCTGTGTCATTGTATTATATCCCACGGCCCCACTTCTAGGAAAGTTGTTGAATGTGGGACACAATTAATGTTATTATGGATTTTCCCTTTGTCTTTTAACCCTAGTTGTCCTCACCTCAAGGCATCAGAGGTGGCAACCTGTTACTTCTGGGAGACATTGCCAAGAATGTTTCCAGATCAGCTTGAAATCCCACTGCAGGACTGCTGGAAATTGGGAATCTTGTTGTCCAAGAAACAGAGGATGAAAACCTGGAGAGTTTTCTCTGGCAAATTTTTGATTACCCAACTCTTCATTCCCTGCTCGGAATGAAACTGGGCTGGAAATCTGGAATCTAGTGTCTGGCCACGAGCTTTATGTCACAGTATGGAAGGGAAGAAGCAACAGCTTCAGGTGAATACAAGTACCACGTGGACCCCACCTGATACCTGTAAACCATAACTCCTTTAAAACACTGCTAAAAATACTATTAATTTCTCGAGTTTGATTTCCTAGGGTGTGTTGGATGGGGGAGTAGTAGCAGTGAAAAGGCAACTTCCACGCTTTGGGGTTGCTGAATTGGAGGGGAATGAAGAGAAAATGTTGATCTATGAATACTTGCCTAACAAGAGCTCAGACTTCTTCATATTCGGTATGTCCATACATCTTTTCATTTGTATACATTATAAGTTAAAGATCAAGGCTCCATTTGGTAGCCATATTTAGCATGCTTCTTTGGTTGAAATGAATGTTCCAAACTGTTCTCGGTACAGAATATTATCAAAATCATTCATTTCAGCCAAACAACCTTTACCGAGTGAGATATTTGATAACATTGGCCAGATTTTAGTAACAAAGAAAAGTGTGACAGATGAAACAACAAAAGAGTTACTCAAGTGGAATAAATGGAACAACATAATTATTGGAATTGCTTGAGAGTTGACATATCTTCATCAAGATTCCCCACAAAGAATATACTCCATATTATCCACATAGATCTCAAAGCTAGCAACATTTTGCTTGATCTTGCGCTAAACCCCAAGATATCAGACTTTAGAAAAGAGAGAAAGTACTCTTCTCCTTAAAAAATGAGAAATATAAAGTTTATATATATTTTACAATTTTGGTACAGAGGGGAATTAAAAGCTGTTATCTTAAAGTGTAAGAACTAGGAAGACATTGCTTCTTCTTTGTTTATGTTGGTTTTTAGCATGTTGAACACAATTTTAACTAGGTTGCTTACCCTTTAGGCTTGGTGGTAGGGAAGATAAAATTTGGGGGAGGGATTTAAGAACCCATGTCAAAAGCCATAAGCAATTGCTAGAGTTTAAGAACACTCCCATTATCAGTTTCAATGTTGCAAGTAAAATTTTCTCTATAAAATACTTCGTAATAATTTCAATTCAAGTACAACATAACAAATGTCCTTTATACGGAGTATATATATAATAGTATGAGCATTCATTAGGAGTAAATAATAAAAACAAATAATAAATTAAATAAATGGAAGATGAAATGAATTATTGTCCAATCTCTTCAACCCATCCTCTCTTGTCCTCAATGGTGCCACTCTGAATCCCCGCCAGTTCCGACGACAATTTATGCACAACATTTTCAGACCCAATCTTGTACTCAATCCTGCACATATACAATTAACCACACAACAAATGAATAAAAGTTATAGTAGGTATATATACATAGTTGGTAGACTGAACTTAATAACTGTACTAATAATAAGTACAGTCAAGGCAAAGTAGGTAGAAGTAGTAATTAAACCTGTTGCCTTTGTAGGTGATGCTTCCCACCCTACAAACACCAACTGCAGTCCCTGTACAAAATACTTCTTCTGCCTCTTTTAGTTCATCCACGTGTATCGGCCTCTCTTCCACCTCATCATTATGGTAACAAACAAATTACTATAATTAATTACTCCATTAGTGTTTAATTAAGTTAATTATATAAAAGTAGTAAAGAGATTAATTACTTGAAATCCTTGATCACGTGCAATGTCCATGATGCTTTTCCTAGTGACACCTTCAAGGATGGTTCCATTTGCAGGGGGAGTCGAAACTACTTTCCCCTATTCAGTTCATTAATTCATTCATTTATTTTATAACAATGTTGTATTACTCCTTTAATTAATACTGAATATATTCACATTATTATTAATAGATTAACTCTGCGTATAAAATTTGGTCTAAATTTATAAAATCTGACCATTATAAGTCAAGCAGGCAGAAAATTATGTAGGTACATATATGCCGTACCTTGACAATGAATATGTTACTAGCGGAAGCCTCCTCGATATAGCTCTTGTGGACTGAGTCCAGGTATAACACCTCTGAGAATCCTTTCTCTTTTGCTCTCATTATGGGTTTCAAAACCTACGTAGTGTTTATTTAAAATATTTCAAACCTCTGTTTTAAAATGAATCTATTGATATTAAATTTATACAAAAGCTCAATGTGTTTTTTCCATAATATGTGGTCAAAGTTCAAAAAGGTTGACCACGAAAGTCAAACTGGGAAATTAATTTTAGGTCGGGATAGTAAACATTATGAAGAAAAGAATAGTATAAATTAATAATGATACTCCATGATAATAATAATCAAAATGCGGTAAGCACCGGAGCATAATTGGTGACACTCTTGACACCTCCAGCGCCGCCACGAGTAGCGCGGTGAAACTCATCTTCGATGTATAAATTCAATGATGAAGACCCCTCCTATAAATAAATGTACATTACACAATTCCGTAATTAGTTAAATGGACACAAATTAAACAATTAAATGGCCAATTTAATTATATACCTGCAGTAAATTATTTGGTTATATGTATATACGTACTGTTATAATTGGTGTGTTTTCTCTTTGCAAATCAAATAAACTCCCCTCATTTGACCAAATTTTCATGTATGTTTTTCTTAAGTGTGTTTAATTTGTCCTTTTTTTTATTTGTCTGGTACTATTAACTGATCTTCTTGGAATAAACTTATGTGAATCAATCTTATATACTCACTTTGTAGCTTCTTTATTGAGTGAGTCACTGTAGCCCATCCTCTTCCCCCCAAACCCAAATCGAAGAATCCTCACCCAATCACCCAACATGTCAACTTCCTACCCGTTATTGCCGCCACTGGAGAAGAGACTGGAAATGATTTCAATGGCTACTCCACAGGGTGGGATTTGAGATTTTTAGTATGGCATTGCATCATTATTCATTGACAATGTTGTTTGTATTGTTTTCTTACCTTCATGTTTTTGTTACTCCGTATTATTTAGGTGGGAGTCCTTCACAACAAGCTTCTCCTTAGGTAGGCAGACCAAGCGGTTGTGCTCTCCAAATACGAGAAGAAACAACAAGCATTAAAGGGAGAGCACAACAACCTCATTGACTGAGGAAACATCATCTTGAGTGCGGGCCATGTCATGGGCACACTGACAACTATCTCAGTTGTTGCATCAGTCTTGGCCTGCATTGTTGATCATGAGGTGCAAGGTGCAACGATCCGTTGTTTATAGCATCTGCTTTCTTTTGTTATTGTCTTTGTGCATGCCTTGTATGTTTTGCGTTGCGAGGTTGAAGGAGGTGCGAAGGGTGCTAAAAAAATATTTTGGAAAGAAAATAGAGGTTATGTGGATTTTTCTTTTCGAATTTTTTGACAAATGCAATTTTTCGATATAATGTAGGCCTAAAAAAGTCTTCTCTTCACTTCAGTTTTCTTTTCAAAAGGTTGTTTAGCACCCTTCACACCGCCTACAACCTTGCAACGCATACAAGGCGTGTGCAAAAGACAATAACAAAAGAGTGCAGATGCCATTAAGAACAGATTTGTTGCACCTAATGATCAACAATGTAAGCCAAGACTGGTGCAACAATTGAGATAGTGGTCTTCGTGCCCGTGACATGGCCCATAGTAGGCCCTAAACGCATTCAAGATCTTGTCTCCTCGATCAATGAGGCTGTTCTGCTTCCCTTTAATGCTTGTTTTTTCTTCTCGTATTTCGAAAACACAACCGCTGGATCTTCTTGAGAGAAGGTTGTTGTGAAGGACTCCCACCCAAGTACTCGTATTACGGAGTAACAAAAACAAGAAGGTAAAAAGTGCTACAAAACAAATAGTTTGACTATGGTAATTGAGAAGATTAATAAAGGACGGAGAGAGTATATATTTTATTTAAAACAATATGAAATTCTTTTTTTAATAAGTATAGTAGTCCTTAGTTAAAATGAAACTAACCTTGAAATAGTTAGCTACGGGACACGCAAAGACAATGAAGGTGTATTCCTGCGCCGGAGCAACCCCCAACACCGGGCCACTTCCCAGCAAGAGCGGCCTAACGTATAGAGACCCTTTTCCCGCCGGAGGCATCTGCACCCATGCATATATGGAGTATACATATATAAAATTTTCGCCGTTCTTTTTTACATTGGATTTCAATATCATATTATGACCCTTTTAAGCCTCGCGCACCCCAAGGCCTTGTGGTTCAATGTGGCTCTATCCCTAGTTGAGACCGTATCTCTCTGTGCTTCAATAAGTTGAGAAAGTGGATACTACCATTGTAACAGAGTTATTAGTGCTCCAAAACAAACCACAAATAAGAGTATAATTGCCTTACCCAACGTTTGTTAGCGAGAGCGGTTTGTTTGACCGCTCGGACGAAGTGAGAGAGGGAGGGGGCGGGCATGCACATCCTGTCCGCCCCCATCTGCATTCTCCGCCCGTTCTCTGCCGGTCTGAAAACGAACACGCCCCCGTTCTCTCTTCTGTACGCCTTCACCCCTTCGAACAATCCCTGCCCGTAATTCAACACCCCAGCCGACGGCGTCAGTTCTATGCCTCCGAAACGACTCAGTTTCATTTCTTCCTCTTCCCCAAATCTCCCGTCTCTGCCCGTCTTCGTTACGTACATGTAATCCGTTTGCCTCGGACCGAACCCGATGTTGTCCCAATCAATATCCGCACACTCTTCATCTCCACTGATTTGTTAGTGTATAATTACTTGCACAATAATGTAGAATTACATATGACTTGTCGAACTAATAAATTACAAAAAGTTAATTAATTTACCTGTAAGGATCAACGGCTAGGCGTAAAGAAGATGTGGCATGAGAGACAAGGGTTCGTCTACCTCCAAGCTTTGCATTATTAATTAAATCATGATAATAATAATAATAGTCAGCATTATAATTAGTCTCCAAAAAGGTTCCCATTTGGGTTATTAATTAACATTCATAAAATGGTTAAAATATATAAAATCATTAAAACATGTATTTTTTTACACCTGAGCTATCGGGGATGAATGGTTAATTAGTCGCCGAAGAAAAGAAGATCCTTGAAACATGTTGGCACGATTGTGGCACCAGGGAAACAATATATAATTACTGATTAAAGAACCCTTCAAGAACAATAACAAATGAAATAAATAAATGAATAATTAAATATATAATGGTTATAGAGATTGGACGAAGGAGGGAGCTTGGTGATCGAACTGAATATATAGAACCCACAATTCTACCCCTCTGTCCCAATTTCAGTTGTCTGTTTAAAAATTCACATGGTCAAACTTTTACTACCTGGTTCTTTACTGATTTTTGTCATCTATTTGATAAAATAATATAATTTTCTCATCTTTTGTTTTGTAGAACTTTTGATGTAGTTTTTAAGACCTTAATTTTTTAATTTCATACCAATTTTCAAATAAATTGAGTTAAAAATGACTTCCGTAAAACCTCGTAAATACTAACGTGTGAGTCAAATTAGGACAGAGGGGGTATTTATTACTCTAAAATGAAAGTTCACCTTTTTTGTCACCAAAAGAAATTTAGTGGGTGTTTCTTACTTCCACAGTAATGTCGTTGTCGAAGTTCGAACCTGAGACCTTGAACTCAATTATTTTCCATCCGAGCAGAAAATTAAAATACAATATACGTCCTCCGTCCCGGAAAACTTTTCCAATTTTGACTTTTGGGAAGGAAAGATATAAAAGTTTTACTAAGGCAAAACGACGACAATTATATTAAAACAAGTTGGGCTCGAGAAATATCAAAACGGGTAGAACGTATAAGAAGTGAAAGTTGAAATGCTTTACACTATATTTGGTTCAAGTAATTCAAAAGAGAAAAGAAAAGAAAATGAAGTGGAAAACAAGTTTTCTTGTTTGGTTAGAAAGGAAAAGTGGAAGGAAAAGAGAATGAGAAGGCACAATGTACCAAGTGGAGGGAAAACCAAATTCCTCCCATTTTGGTGAGAAAAATGAAAGAAAATCATTTTCTTTTCTTTTCCTTCAAAATTCCTTGAACCAAATATATTAGTGTTAAGGGATGGAGTGAGTACTATATTCATTGTAGGTGGTAAAAATATATTCCGGACTCCAATAAATTTAAGCATTATTTTGGACAAGTAGAGTACAATATCAATGTTGTGTTAGCAATGGCATGTAAGGACGACCTTTAGTACTATTCTTAATTTTTTAAAACAATAACTACTACTCCAATTAGTTGCTACAAAAAAAATGCTACAATAAGTAGTACATGTCGTGAAAAATGTTGTGTTAGGAATGGCATGTAATAAAGACTGGTGTTAAACTTAATTAGGGTTAAAAATGAGTATCCCAAACATGGGTTTTTAATTATGGAGAAGTTTGAATATATAATTAATTAATCAGAAGTTTGAGATTTTAATTGTGTCAGTTTCTTGATATAATTTTTTGCTGGTAGTTAAATGAACAGGTTTAGTTTGAAAAATGCCAAAAATGTGTTAGCAACAAGATTTTTTTAATTAGTTACATCAAAATTACAAACACATGAAGGTCTTGTGTTCTTAAGCCACTATGGTAAAATACGTGACATTCTCAAATTTTAATGAATTCTGAATGAGTAAAAAACGGAAATAGTGGAATAAGTGGACAAATAAAGTTGTTTTTTTTTGTTTTTCAATTTTTTTTTGGGGTCAATGTAATGAGGAAATGTGATGTGTGTGAATATACGTGCATACACCATATTTAAACTCTTTTTGTGACTTAATTTTTGTCAAAGTCTAGAGTCATTATTTTAGAGTGTGGAAAAAAGAGTTTTTTTATATCTCTTTCAATTGTCGATCATCCACACCAGAGCTATCACCATGTCCTCTGCCCGCCGTTGTTCTTTTCGCATTGTTGGCTATCCATCACTGAAAATAAGAATTTTAAATTTTTTGAAACATTTTCATTTCAAGATTATAGAGCCCGTATTATTTCTTGCAAGTTCCAAAACTCATACGGAGTATTATATTAATCCTCCAAAACTTAGAAGGCAAATGAAAATTTTTAAAGAAAAATAATCCAGAATAATCTCAACTTTACCAAGTTTTTTTAAAATAATCTCACATTTCATTGTGATGCATAAAAATCTTAACTTTAGTAACATTTGTAAGTTTTGAATTGTCTTAAGTTGCTAACGGCTGGTTAACAGAAATGACCTATTTTGCGCAAAAAATAAAAAAAATTGTTTCAACCTAAAACCGTTGGCATAAAAACAAGAAATAAAAATTTCTTTCTTATTAAAACCCTAAAATTGGACATAAAAATAAAAAAAATATTTTCTTCAACGTAATTTCATTCTAGTTGTTTCTTAATAAGAAAAATACTTTTTTATTTCTTATTTTTTATTTTTTTCCAAATTTTACCAATTAGAAGAAATTATACACTATTACACCATATAGTGCGTAAAATGTTACATTCCACCACTCCGTATATTTTTATTTCTTATGAATTTGAGTTTAGTTTTTGTTAGTTACCTTAGCTTTTCATTTCATTATTATTTTTATTTTAGTTGTGTTTCTCATTTTCATTATTCCATATATCTGTTTTTTTATTTTTCCAAAGACTAGTTTTAAAACTTGATGGAGGTATTAAAAATTTAATGGAAAATTTAAAAAACAAAAATTTATTAGAAATAATCTCGATTTTCATTTTGCTGTATGAAACAAGTCATTTCTGTTAACTAACCGTTAGCAGCTTAAAGGCGACTCGGAATTCCAAATTTCATTATTAAAGGTGGGTATATTATGCACCACAGTAAAAATTGAGATTATTTTTTGAAATAAAATTGAGATTATTCAATAATTTTTTTCCTTTTTGAATTATCGTAATTTTATAATTATATGCAAATACGGAGGATTTTAGAGGATCAAGGACATATAGAACAATATTGAAAAAAGTGAAATCTGCACTAAATAGGACTAAAACATAAGTCATTTTTCAATGTAGGACTTAAACTTTTTTATTTCTTAAATAGGACTTAAAAATGTCTAGTGGGAAGAATAACGTCCAATGATAGTGAACATTTACTTGAATAATGACCAATGGTTCTACTTTGGGAAATAAAAACATATGGTCTTATATTGAGAAAATAATTATGTTTTAGTTTTATTAAGGTAAATTTATAAAAAAAAACATATAGGACAAGGAGTGGGTTTCCTGCAATTAGAAAAGTTTACTTAAGCCCGTTCCATTGGGCCAAAATAAGTATCGGAACCAATTAAGGGGCTTTTAATTTATACCCAATCTCTCAAATTATTTTTTAGTACAATCTTTTAATTAATTTAGTTTTATTTAATTTTCAATCAATTTCAAATCTTCTTTTTGTGATTTTTTCGGGCGTTTTGGAAAGATTTTGTAGACAAATGTTACGATTTAGGTAGATGATTCCAAATTAATGTTTTCATAATTATTTCATGGAGATATTTATTGAGATAATTGTCACTGTCTTAAAATTTCACATCTCTTATTTTGTAAAATTTTTATAATAATTTTTAGTACATAAATTTCAGACTAAATTTTTTTAAATTAAATTAAAAATAACTATAACATAACATCGTAAATTGAAACATAAATTATAACTCACAGACATAAATGTAGTAGTGCATAATAACGCCATAATAATCAATGTGTGCATTGTGTTTAACTACGGAGTATTCATTTAAAACAACTTCGTCGAGTTTGAGCGTAAAAAGTAAAATTGAACGAGCATTTAGGGATAGCGGAAGTATTTACGTACCCAGTATCCAATTTGAATGAATGTGGATTGGAAATAATTAAATAAAAAAAACAAAAGAAAGAATAATGTATAGAAATTTATTTTGAGACGAAAAAATAACAAAAGATAAATGAACGGTGCAGAAAATAAATAGAAGCCAAATGTGGATATGATGGATGACTATTAATTAGTTGCTAGCTTTGTTCAAAGAAAAAATTAATTACTTAGAATCCATCATCATTAGAGCATTTAGACCATCCCCGATGAGAGGAGAAATGTCTACCATCCAAATCATTTTTTTGGGAAAAACAAAGAAAGTGGTTATTAGTATCATAATGCATTTTCGGGAAGGTTCCGATGACAATAACTCCTCTTGCCATTCTATGACATCGGTCACAATTAGAATACCTACGGTGTTGGCTTAAAAAAATGGATGGTTCCTATCCCTGGTAAACTTTCTTCTACCCGGCCTGACTCGAACCCAACTTACCCTCACCCCTCCAATTGCACTCCCACAAAATTTAGTTGACTTTGAAGTCAAATTTTATACTCCCTCCGTCCCATAAAACATTTCCTGTTTCAAAAAAGGCACACTCTTAAAATGAGTAATTTTGATGTTATTTTCTAATTTTGTTCTTACTTCTTAAAAGAGTAGGATGAGATGTGTAGAATAGATTAGTCATAATTAAAAAATAACACTAAAATTACTCATTTTAAAGGCGTGCCATTTTTGAAACAGGAAATGTTTTATGGGACGGAGGGAGTATTTAATAAGCATTTGTTTTTTAAATAAAAAATAAAAAAAATTTGATGTGAGAAGGTTCATAAAAATAAAATGCACTCAAGGTGCACCAAAGAAACACTCGTTACAAATATCTTGGTTGATTTAGTTATTTTCTACAATTAGAATGTGTGGAAAATATATATATGTAACCATCATCATTATTTTACCAATCAATTAGTAAAGAAAATTGATCTTCCTAATAGAAAGTAATTATATTTTTCTCTTTACTTTCTCTTCTTTCATTTTCTCGACACACCAAAACAAAATTATTTTATAAATGCTCAGTTGATACACTCATTTTGTCTTTCATAGATTTTCTCACATATTATTCATAGGGTTAAATTTAATTTACTTTGTTTATTTTTCACTTTTAATTTTCATAAAATATATACTCTTGTTACCTCCTGTTTTGTAAATTTTTCATGTAATTTTTTACTATGTACATTTTATCTTCAAATTTTACAACTGCAGCCTAATAAGCTCGACTAAAATAAAGCTGATCAAATCTGGTATTGAGAAGATTTATAAGGGAGGGAATGAGTAACTAGGGTACTAAAATGATTGGACTGTGCTAAGGTTCCCCCAAATGATTGTTATCATGGGTGTAACCAAACTTCGCAAAGATAACTTTGATGATAGTTATCTGTGCGACACAAATGATAATCATCTTTACGAACTATTTAGGAGCACTTTAGCATTTTCCAAAATTAAATGATTAACCACTACACCAAATGCTGTGATGGCCACTTTCATTCACTCTAGAGTCGGTGACATGCTGATGCTCTCAATAATTATTAGACCTAAATGATAAAGGAATCAATAAAAAAAGACACTCTCAAATCTCAATCCCCCTATAAAATTCTTTATGTTCGAATCCTCTCAAATTATTTGCACTTTAATTTTATTACAATTAATGTAAAAATTTCAAAATAAAATCTGTATAAATATATTACGGAATATATATAACACTAAATTTAAAGTTTTTAAAAATAAAAATAATTCGATTATTCTATTTTTAATAAATTATCTCTAAACATATACTCCGTAAAGAGTGTGTAAAGAAAGATAGGAATATAATTTGACCAAGGGACACATTGTAGCTCTGACTTTATTTCAGTTGTCCATAGAGAACTTATTCATTATAGCTATGAAAATCATTTTATGCTTTTGTAAAAAAGGATGAGCCAATTCCTGAGGGCCTCAGACTTGACCAGACGGTCAATAAAATTTTAATCGCAGATTGGTGGCAGAAAGTGTATCCTGACATATCTGTCCATGGAGTTCTAACCTAAGACCAATTGGTAATAGGAGGAGAGATCATTAGACTTATATATTGGACTTCTTTTTGTTTTTCTCTGATGTAGGAGAAGCCTCCCAACACGATTACACGAGTACATATACCATACATCTGGATGTACGGTGTTTTTCGTATATCTGCACAAATTTTCATTCTCGAGTAACTAACTATTCATTTTCGAACATAACTGAATTTAAAAAAAGATGAGTATAATTACTCGAAAATGAGTACTCGCTTTGGATATACGGGAAACACCGTACAATCAATTGCATAGTATATCGCGTCCCTTCACCCCTTCTCCAGTGCAACGGCCTGGCCCTGCATTTTTCGGGTTGCGCTTGACATTTTTCGTGCCATGTGGCCGACCAGCCTAATAGATCACGAGTTCAAAGAACCCGCACCAGTATCATAATAAAAATATTATGGGCTAATCATGGCATGGGGTGACACACACTGTTTTGTGTGTATTTGTGCGATAGGCCCAGCATATAAGCCAATGGGGCTTCTAACCTAAAATCAATTGACGATATGAGGAGAGACCATTGCACTTAGTTTCACATATCCGAATGACACTAAAAATATATCATTGTATTGTTGAATTTTTGTACATGTTTTTTGAGTGTGTCTGAGTGATGCGTCAAACAAGAGGACATTATTGCCAAAGAACCAACTCGACCAAAAGCTCAAGTTTGTAGTTGTGGCCTAAGAAAAGTGTTTTTATATTATAGCACGCCTCCTCACGTGTAGGCGTAGTCTTTCTTAGTCTTGTACGTAAAATCTTAAATTTTTTAAAACTAGCCAGGTAACGCAAAGTTTCGAAACTGTGACCTGACCTCATAGTCAACAAGACTTTGATATCATGCGAAGGAAGCAACTCAGCCAAAACTCAAGCTTGTGGTTGTGACCCAGAAAATATTTTTTATATTTTAACAATTATTGTGGTGTTAAAGCAGAATTCTTATTGCACTATATACTCTCTTCGTCTTTAATTGATTACAGAGTATAACACTTAAAATTGGTTTATTGAAATTTGAAAGTCTGCTGCGTGGCCTCCTTGCCCATTGGTGCCTGAGCGTGTCTAGCTTAAATTGGTAAAGATTATATAGATTGACTATTTTCTATAATTGAACAACAAAGACTCCGTAATATATAATGCTCATTCATTTATCAGCGTAATAATTAATAAATAATTACGGGTGTCAACATGATCATCATAATGGTTTGATAATAACTTAACGGTTGAGAATCAATATTAATGATGATGATTATGACGACAGTCGTTGACTTTAGTGAATAATTTTACGGAGTATTCCCTAGGCCATAATAATTTTAACTGGAATTCAATTCTCCCTCCGTCCAAAAAAAATTCTCAATTTCACTTGACACAAAATTTAAAGAAAATGAAAATGTGTGATTGAAAATAAAATAGCGAAGAGAGAAAAATTGTGAGCCGTTCAAAATTTTCTATGAAAATAAAGAAGAGGTTTTTTTAGGCGTTCTAAAAAGAAAACAAAGATTCTTTTTTAATATAGAAGTATTTAAATAATAAGCTTTTAGACTTTGACAACTCAAATTAGGAGGGTGATAAATGGATTTTGAAATATTCTAATTACTCTAATTTTTTGTGTCAAAAACGTGTTTTTTAGCAGTGTGTAGAAAACGTGTATCTAGAATTTGGGTTAAGCATTTTTTCTGGCAATGTCAAATTTCAACATTATATTCCAATTGTTTGGACTTTAGAAGAGGAGTTATCAACTTTTAGGTTTCGATTTTTAAATTTTATGTTTTGCACCCAAATTCAAGTAGCCGGAAGCTAAATTATTTATATCGACTTCAATTATCAGATCCCAAATTTCAGATAGATAGATTTCGATTAGAATTAAGGCAATAAAGAAAAAATAGACCCAAAAATATGTAAAGTTGAATAAAATTATACTTGAAAATTAAGAATTGAAATCTGTAGGGGGGAATCTAAATACTCAAGTGGGGAATTTGATTAGTGAAATTTATAATTAAAAAAAGATGAGTCCCATCCCCGAGGACCTCCTCAGACCCGAGCGGATTGTCATTGAAAAAAGATAAATTAGACTTTGATCGTAAATTAGTGACAAAAAGTAAAGCATGTATCTCGTACTTGCAGATGCTCTATATTTAACATAGTTACTTAACATAGTTACTTCTCAGTGTAATTTTCATGAATCAAACTCAAGTCTTACTTTCTTGGCATTCTTTGCCTTTATCAATTGCTCAAACCGAAAATTTATAATAAAAGAATGAAGTGTAATTAGTGAAACTAAAACAGGGAGCTAATAATAAAGTGGTAGCTAGCTAGGGGGTGGCCGTAAAGCACGGAAACACATCAGAAACATTATCTCCAACATTTAACCCAACTTGTATCCTACCTACCCTACCATCATCTCTCATTTTTTTTTTGTAATTTTATTTATATTCTTATTTTTTTATAACTTTCTTTTCTTTTTTGTGAGACCAATTAAGTATTTGTTTATTACGGAGTACTAGTTAGTAGGGGTTGACATGCACTTGGAAATGCGTTCCCTAGACAAAGAGGAGAACAATATAGTCAACCTAGGGAGACACAAATGAATGGAGATTCTTTTACTCTAATAAATATCCTTCCATCTCATAAAAATATTCCACATTTGAATCGACTCATAAATTAAGAAAAAATAAAATTTATAGTTCAAAGTGATGCAAAGAAGATATTGAAAAATTATAAAAGTCAGAAAAAATAAAAAATAGCAATTAAAACCCTTTTTTTGACAGATGAAAAAGAAAATATAGATTTTTTTTATGAGATAGATGGAGTAAAGAAATGCTCCTCCCATGATAACTAATTATAGAGCAATACAATAATCATTTGTTTAGAGAACCTTTCCCAATCCCATGGCATCCTTCCATCTATCACTTCCTCTATATATATTTATGTGTTGTACTTGAGCTACATGCATACATTCATACCCAGACACATTAAATTAAATACTACCTGATGAGATTTCATGAGGACGTTCACGACACCAGCCTCACTCTCAGCCTTGGATCCCATGATGATGATGATGATCACATCCATGCACATCATCATCTTCATCAAAACAAGAAGAGACCATCAAGGGCTTCCCAGATGATGATGATGATATGTGAAGACACCCATCATCCATCCCTTTCGCTTGCGCTGCGGCCTTTGGAACTCGTCAAGCTCGACGTTTCCGATGATGATGATGATCATGAAGAAGAGTTTTGTACGAGGAAGAAACTTAGGTTGTCCAGAGACCAGTCAGTGGTTCTAGAACACAGCTTCAAACAGCACACCACTCTTAATTCTGTATTTAATCTCAACCATCTTCTAATACTGATTTTATTTACATAAACTAATTAAACTCCAATTTCATTTGAAGCTCCTACGATGATCCGTTCATGAAAATGGACGGTTCATATTCCTAGCTAGCTAGCTAGCCTCCTCTTAAACATACCCCCACTACCCTTGCCCCTCTGTTTGCTGATTTGCGGTTGCCAATAGGCGAACATGGTGGAATGGGTGGGGAGTTGGAGGGAGGTTAGAGGTAAAAATCATTTATTTTTCAAACAAAACACCCTAAAGTTCTCAATTTAGACAAGTGTCATTATATGACACCATGGGATTTTATGTGCTCGTACCTACTTCTCTTAATGAATAATTTTGTTTTCCAGAAACAAAAGCATGACTTGGCGAGAAGACTAAATCTAAGTCCACGACAAGTTGAGGTCTGGTTCCAGAATCGAAGGGCCAGGTATAGTACATGTTATAATTTAATTATATAAGTTTGAGCTTTTGATTAAAAAGTATATAATTAAAAATTACTTGTATAGGACGAAAATCAAGCAAACAGAAGTGGACTATGAGCTGCTAAAGAAGTGTTTCGAAGCACTCAAGGATGAGAACAAAAGGTTGCAAAGGGAGGTGGAAGAGCTGAAACGTTTTGCATCCAACCAAACGTGCCCTTCTTGTATGTGTGAAAGGTTGTCATACGGTGGCTTGGCCGTGGATGACGGCTCAGCCAAATCTTCCCTCTCAACCACCAACAGACAAAAAAACTCGTACTAATTAATAATTACGAGTTTACGACTCAGTATGGAATGAAAAGCAGTAGGTATAGTAGTACTACTTCAGGCCTACTCAAGTCTTTAATCTAAATCATTAAAACATTATTCAAAACGCTAACTAAAAACATTGTTCCAAAGCACTTTGTCTATTTAAAAGACGGTCAAATCTTTGAAGGACGTATATGAATCGAGTATATTTGTAAATGTAGTTTGCTTAGATACCTACAAGAAAGTATAGTACAGTATACCCCAAAGTTTAATTTATACTGTATTCATTAATTAGTCTTTATAAAGATGATAAGAGTTTATTCAGAACTATTTCAGAGTGAATGTTTTTCGTTTGCCATTCCTCACTTCCTTCTAGGTGACTTTTGATACACATCAAGATGGAGAGACGACGCAGGACAGAAATAAAATAAAAAAGAATTATTTTCCAACAGCCCATTGGAAACGCTACAAGCAAATCTCAGGTTTTCATTTTTGACTTTGAGAAGCCAATTGGCGAACAACTTTTTTTAAATAATGGTCTAACAGCCATTTTTCGGATCGGCCTGGATCCAAACGAGACCTCTAAAATTTACAATAAATAATACTCCCTCCGTCCAAGAATTATTGACACAATTACTATTCTGACATCTCGATAAGTTTTGTTTTTTTACATGTTTTCGTTGATCATTTGATAAAATAAAATATTTCTGCCACTTCTTTTTTGTAGAACTTCAAATGTAGTTTTTTAATATGTAACTTGGACTTTTTATTTTTATACCGGTTTGTAAACAAAATAGACTAAACAGTACAATTTTTATTTAAATTATAATTAAAGTTTGTTTAGTTTGACTTAAAAAAGTGAAACTAGAACATATTTAGTAGTATAATTTAACTACTTTTTGGATGAATATTGATGGTAAGAAGCAACCATATAAAAAGAGAACAAGATATCTAATATGCGAGCCATTGAATCTCGGTAAAATTGTACCTTTATTAAGGATCATAAACAAATGGGAGTAAGACTCCAAAGCTACACGACAACCATTTCATCCTCTTTCATTTTTGTACCCTGCAAATTAACATCAAGATGGAGTATTTTAAAAGCCTTGTAATGACAAACAAAGATTAAATTTATACCAATAGACCAAAAATGTCCGTTGTAGGCAAAAACTAGATGCTATAATGAGAAAATTGTAGATAGTATCATAATCTTCATTTGTGGGAAGATACACAATTCCATATATGCGAAGAATGAACTCTCCAAAATTAGATCACATCACCAAACTAAAGACTTGGTAGCATCTACTTTAGGCCCCTTCATGGTCTCATCTATCTTGCAAAGTACAGAGTAGTAATTACCTTCAATAGCTTCTAAATGGAGGTGCCAATTTAGCACGACTGAACACCCGTGAGGTATTCCTTCCATTTGGCTTTCATCCTCTACAAGTTGTTCTACAAAACTGGTTTCCTGCACCAATTATTCCTTATAAAGTCTTTGAAAATAAAAATTTAAAAAAATAAATAAATATTCAGGCATAAGAAGGATACCTGAAACCCGTCTTTTATGCTGTCCAACTGTCGGATTGGCTCTGCGGTAGGGCGATGCCATATTTTTGGATCCCACAAAAGAGTACTATTGAAGGCAAAGCCGGACATATCAACACCTTGGAATCTTTTAAGTCTTTTGCTCTTTTCATATGTGTGCCATCCCACTACTCGGCTTCCATTACAAATAGGACCTTCTACTAAAACTTTGTTTTTGCTTTGTGCCACCATAGCCACAGGCCAAGTCCCGAAACGGCTGGGAAGGGAAGAAAAAAACGTGTTCTTTAATACTAATACTATTTGCATGAAATTGAACATTACAAGAGCAGTTAGAAAGTTTGAATCTTGGACAACTTAAACCACCAAGCTCTTAGAATTCACTAATCTGAAAAACATTTTCATGATTTTGGACTCTATTCTAAAATGTAAATTAAAGGTATTATATGCTGCTCTGAAGGACCCTACTCTCGTGGGATCTAACTAGTTTGTTGTTGTTGTATATGGCTGCTCTGAAGCTACACATTATTACTCCGGGGTATATTATAGAGATTAAACACAAACCAGATTGACCTATATACATCAATAAGTCACACCATTGTAAATATCAGAGTGAATCTCAATAATATATACGGAGTACCTGATATTCCTCATGCTGTCAAACAACTCGAGCGAGTAGACATTGTCATCATCTGCAAAGTAAACAATTCCGTCAAGCCTGTGATGCTCAACATGCTCTAATGCAGTGTTCCGCATAACAGCTTTCTTGTGCTTTACATCTTCCATGATCTTGGAGCACACTAGATGCCTATAAACAACACCAGTCTTCCTCAAAATCTCTGCAGTTCCGGATGAAGCTTCATTCATCTCCACCACAATCCACAGTAATGGTGGCTGCACAAGCCTCAGAACCTGCCCCAATCGATTCAGATCATAAGTTTGTTGAGGCCTTGGATACGTAGGAGTCACAACGATCAATTGTTTCCGCGGAATCAAATCAAATCGTCCTTCCAATTCGGTCTTTTCCTGCACTTCTAACAGAGAAACAGCAACGATGGAATTATGTCTGGGAATTACTACATCCTTCATTTCCCTTTCATCATCTATGGACGGAGGCTTTGCTTGGGCTGAGAAATCGTCCTTGTTCTTCGCATCTTCTAGATCGCCAAAAGGTGCCACGCCTAGCAAAATTCCTACGAAGAAGAACATCAAACACCTGTAAATCGATTTCTTCCACGAAAATCCTTTCCTCGAATGCCTCACGCCTCCACCACCGAGTAAATCACCGATTGCAAAGCCGAACGCCGACAGCGGAGACGAGCTTTTCCCGATGGACTGGACCTTGTGAGGCGGAGAATTAACGTCGAGAGAGAACGAATTCGCTCCTCCGGTAAGATAATTGGACGACGATAGGGTTCGCCGGAAGGACGCCATTGCTGAGCATCAGCGGAGAGAGATCGGATTCAGTAAACGCATTTCCACCAAAAACAAAACAACAAAATTGAAGCGAAATTTCAACGTGAATAAGTAAATCGCAAGTGAAGCATCATACCTGACGCGATGAATGCAGACAATCGTGGATCATACCGATACAGAGCACCGATCACTCACTTCAATGTATCTAGTCTTCCTTTCTCTGCGAAATTGAATATCTGGAGATCAAAGCCAGCAGATTTAGTAAAAATTTTACTCCGAAATTGAAATTGAAATTGAAAGCATTCTACTCCTTGTTCTGTTTTGGTAACCATGAAAGTGATGCATCCATCCTAATTCATAACTGGGCATTTCTGAACCAATTTTGATTGGTAGAGACGAAAGACAAAAATGCTATAAAAGCCACACTATAACAATTGTTTGTAAATTCAACCATGTTGGAGATTCTCCCAAATTGTACAGGAATGCATCAATACATTAATACATTAATGATTTACATTGACACAAAATATTAGTTTAATTAAAAAAAATTAAACAGACATATTATATCATTGTAAAACATCACACCAGTGCAAAATGCTGGTTCATACGTACGAAGTACTCCCTCCGTCCTAAAATTTTCTTCCCAGAGCACTATTCCAACTTCACGGGAATTTATATTTATTTGTGTTTTTTCATGGCTTATATGATAAAATAAAATATTCTTGTCACCACTTGTTTTGTTGAAATTTTGATGTAGTTTTTAAATATATATGTTTTATTTTTTATTTCTATACCAGTATTTAAATAAAATAGATTGAAAAAACTTGGGATTTTTCTTCGTTTTGCGCAACGGGAAGAAAGATATAGGACGGAGGGAGTACAATTTTTGGTGTATAAAGACATTGAGTAATATAAAATGACTACTACAAGTAACAGATAGGAGAGAGTAACTAAAAGATATAAATGAATAGCTCGATACAAGCTAGAGAAGGATATGATGGACAACTTGAATTCCAACACCCCCGAAAGTTGGAGGATTCTTTAAGTCGTAACTTGCGCAAAGAATGATGGCATAGCGGTCCAAACAAGTTCTTGGTGAAGACATTAGCAAGTTGGTGCAAAGTGGGATCGTGATTTAGAATGAATAATGCATTCTATAGTTTTTTGCGTGCGAAATGATAGTCAAGTTTGATTTACTTTCACGATACACAAATTTCTGTATCAAACTTTAGACCATAAACCAAATTTAGTGGTAACAAACTCATGTGTGTGGGTTTATGAAGAGGATTAGAGGGCAAATATTATCAATTTAACGAATTGATGATAAAAAATAATTGGTCTCGGCAATTAAAAAGAGTTCTCTTATAAAGGAGACATTTCGTTAAATACCATACATACATACATACATGATTTTTAAATATGATTGAATCGCTAGTTCAACCCCTCGAACTTGTAAATTTATGCCTGAGCCGATTCGAAACTATGCTTAGAAGTGTAATTTGAAATGAATTTTGATGACATTTATTGAAATGGATTATCAAGAGAAATGCTGGTAGGTTTGGAATGGTAAGTTGGCCCAATTAGAAGTCAATTAATCCGGGCTAGAGAGCTAGAATTGGATCCTTGTCAAACATTTATCAACAGAAATTTATCAACAAAAATTTATACCGTAAAAAAAAGCCTAAGACTTGTGGACTAATCACATCAAGAGGGTTCTTTCAAATGGAAAGTCACACGTCAATCCTTAATAGAGACGACAATTATTGGTGTTTTTAGAAATTAAAAAAATGTATGAACCAATATTACAATTGTAAGAGTCTAATAGAGTTAGTGTGCTTGGGATTAATTAACTAGTGGATAAAGTAATTTCCATAATAACTAAAAGTAAATGTATCTCATAATTACTTTTCTGAAACAGTGCTCTATGTACAAAATAATGGTGGAGAAAAGCAGTAGCTGATATACCAAAAAAAGTAAAATCACTTTCACTAAAAGCAGAAACTAAATTCCTAAAAGAAGCGCACTGCCAAATACCCTCTTATTAGTAATCAAAAAAATATTTAAAAAAAAGAGATTAGCTTACTCTTGATAATATTTTAAATACTAATTCTAATAATTTCAAATACTTCATTTACTACAAATGGTTAGTGAACAATTATTTTTGGATGATCCAAAAAATAGTTATTTTATATCTATGTGTGTGTAATAATAAAACTCGTATGCTCAGTGGTAAAAATTATGAAATATCAGCGACACTTTTATGGTCTTTTTCATCATTGACACAATCTAAAAAGCTCAGAATGATATTATATGGTGTCATCAGTCTACATCGCCCACATCCTCATGGCATGCAGGTTGGTATCACTTTTCCGAGTGGAAAAATGCAACAAGCGTCAACCCAAACCCATCTCTTGGTACCCGCTCATGGACAAAACCTCCACTGGATTGGGTAAAACTAAGCGTTGAAGCTTCAGCAGCCGGCAGGCCTCTTGGCAATCGTAACAGAGTGGGTTGGATTGTTCGCAACCATCATAGCACTTTTCTTGTTGCAAAAATCCCACCATTTCATCCTACCACTCACCTAAGGAAGCAAAGACAATTACAATCAAAGAAGCTCTTAGCTAGATCAAAGAGATCGCTTGGCAAAAGATCATATATTATCGAATCAAATTGTCTTGCAATCAGCAAGCCCTTCAACACCAGTTGTCGATGATATATCTCATTTATCTCATATTCTCACAGATTGTAAATCTCTTATCTCTTTTATAGGGAGAGATATTTCTTTTGTTTTTGATTATCGTTCAGCGAAAATTTGGTTGCTCATGGTCTAGCTCAAACAACTCGTTCTCCTCTAAATATCAAGGTTTGGCATTCTTTCCCCCTCAGACTATGTAAATGACATTTTACGTAATGATTAATATATTTGTCTTTCCTAACAAAAGAATACGAATATAAAATTGGTCAATTAAGAGATATCATGTTGAGTAGACAAAGATAAATATCACTATGTTATACTTTCCCCTCCCAAAAAGAACTCTAGTTTGGGTTTGGCACTGTCAAAGAACCAACTCAACCAAAAGCTCAATCCTGGGTTGTGGCCCAGGAATAGTCATTTACTCCCTCCGTCCAGAAATTTTCTTCCCGTGTTAACTTGGCACGCTTATTAAGAAATAGTTAAAAAAATCTTCTTTTATTATTAAAAAAGTACTAAAAAAGTAGATTTGTGATAAAATAGAAGGGTATTATTGATATTTATCCTTAAAAAGTATACTAAAAAAGGAAAGGGAAAAAAACCTAAATAGGACTAAAACATATCAAATATACCTAAATAGGAGTCCAAAACATAAATTCCCCAAATAGGACTTAGTTTGCATGGCCATCCCCAAAATACCCTACCCTCCCTCTCATCTTGCCGCAAACCTTTATTTACCAAACATAAAATAAGTATATTACTATTAAAGTTAAGTGTTGCATTATTGTTGACATAAGGTGGCCATTTACAATATGAAATTTTAGTTTTCTCATTTACACGTACAACAATTTATAAGAGTCCCTAAAGTTGGTCATGTATATGCCAATTTGTGGCACTGTACACAGCGTTGAATGACAAAGGTTATTTAAATGAAACGAAATTATGAAATAAAA